GCCTAAACCCTAAACCCGATAATGACGTCTAGACCCACCTACTCTTGAACATATTGGGACCAACGAGGCGAGTCCACGAGATGCCCGAATACGGACAGGGTCATGGTCTTATTACTGAACGAATATGGGCCAAGTTTTTGTGTTCACGCATCCCGAATCAATTAGGTATGCTAATAAGTATCATAGGGCTTTTGTACTAGATTGTACTTACAAAACCAATCAATGCCTCTATTACATATTGTTGGCATATCACCTTCGAGTTCGAAATTTAGCATTGTGCAATATTTAGGCTTTGAAGGCTTTTTTCTCATTTTCAAATCCCATGCCTTTTAAACCAGTTCTTTGTCCTCGCCGTGATCTAGCTCTGTTAGGTGCAATTAAGGCTCACTATTATAGATACTAACATTTGTTTTGCACATGGCATATTAATAAAAATGCAACATTTAACGTAATTCCCGCCTGTCCCGATCACCCAGAACACCATAGTAAATACAAGATTTCATTACTTCATATCGCAACACTTAGGGCTAATTATATAGTCTTAGAGTATCTTAATATCAAACATATCATACTAGGTGTGTTTATTAGCTCAGAAAATATTTTAGGAGACAACAATATAGATATATATATTTACCTTGATAGTTCGCAGGGTATTTTTGGTAATGCAGGTAAATAACAGATTCTGAATATGCCATTTATACCAAAGTATTTTTAACATAAATTAATTCAAGCTTACAAGAAATCAAGGAAAAATATCTTGTTATTGTTGATATATTAGCACCTGAAAAATCACTTTTACTATGGTGTTCTGGGTGATCGGGACGGGCGGGTGATTGAGTCGGGCGGGAATTACGTTAATAAAAAGCAGCACTTTTCTACCAACACATATGAAGAATTCCTACAATCGTGGAGTCAGCTGATTTATTCCACTACAGAGGATATTTATAATTCTAGGCTTTTAAAATTTGAGAAGTAATACCAATCCTCCCCTCTCTACGGTATATTCAGGATAAGTGGCTAATTTATAAAGAGAGTCTATAGTTGCGCAGACATAGCAATTCCTACTTCTAGCTAATTCTGCAACATTGCGAGTTGAAGGATCACGTGCCCTTTTGAAAAAGCACAGGAATTTCGACAGGGATAGACTACTTGTATTTGAATGGATTTCACAAGCTTTGCAAGCCCAATATACTACACTTGCATATGATTTTGCAAGGGATCAAATCAAATGGCTAGTATTGCTATCAAGTCAACTTTGTACTAAGATATCACTAGGATCTCTCGATATTCGATCCGACGAATCAGTGAGCAACTTACGAAGCCAAATGAGCTACAAAATAAGATTCTTTGCCTCCCTATATAAATAAATTCACAAGAACTATAGGTCTACCATGCGAATATTAGATTTCTACTTTACCAGAGGGTAATGTAGCTTCCATTGACAGATATCCACCCATTCTGGCGAATTGGGCTTAGTGAGGGCGAATCTGAGTATCTCCGACTCTTGGAGCCCCTGATTCCTTTGCCAAAGCCTAAGAAGCGCAAGCGGGCTAAGGCAGAGCACAATAATGAGGGAAACCTATACAGAAGAGGAAAAAAGCTCTGTCAAAATGTACAGTATATGGGACAGTTGGGCATACACGGAGATCAAGTACTACGTAAATAAATAATTGTCGAGACATGGAGCGGTAACTTACCACACAGACAGGGGTCATACTGACTAACCTACTTTCCTTTGTGTTTTGTATCGTAATTTGGTATCCTTGGCATCACGGTTGTCGTAACACTGTGTATCATCGCCATCTACAGTATGGGTATTTCAACCTGCCCTAGGACATTCGTTCTTTCTTCAACCAATCAACCTCTTGGATCCAAGATTGGTTCCGCTTGAGCCTACCCTCTATCTCATTCCCCTATCGAGTACTAGCCTGTACTGTCTCAGCGTGCTCCGATAATAATACAATCGTGTGATAATTTTGATTATCTAATTATTAATGTTAGTTAACTAACTAACTAATGTACAGATGAATAAGATAGATGATTGAGTCAAGATAGAAGATGCGCTGGGTAGGTTGAAGTGCCCACTGAATGTTTTTGGTACTTGTGGTTACGAGAGCTAAGTTACGAGGAATACCAAGTTACTATACAAAACATAACGAAATGTGGGTCAATCTGTAATCCTCCTGTCCCGGTAGTAAGTTACTGGTCCAATTCCCTGACATAAATATATTTCAATCACTAGTTGAAAGTCAGCTTTCAATACTCCGCTAGTAGATTCGAAATACTCTCGAGATTGCAGAAACTCAACATTTACAAAATAAATGCGGCTGTTGAGATATGAAGTTGTAATTTATCGCCTTTAATATGGTGTTTTAGGATGGCCGCGCTGGTAGTGAATTATGTTAAGTAGGGATGGATGTCCCTAAGTTAAGAAACCTGGGTTGTCAGTAATTCCCATTTTTAACGTCGGGTTCTTAGCAAAGCCTGCGGGGAACAAAAAGAAATTTGGAGAAGGCCTCTCCATTGGCCAAAAGTTCGGGCCAAATCCCGGTAATACCATAGTTTTAGTGTCCTTTTACTATGTCTTAATAGGTAATCCCCGAAATATTACGGTATTTTTGGGCAAGACTTCCGTTTCATTCGCGAGGTCTAGAGGCCGGAAGTGGCTGTGGATTTTCGATCCCAGGGTGGGAGTCTATGGGGCTTTCCCGTATATCTAATTTATGAAAGGCAAGTTAGTTAGCTAATCGTGATTAGGCCATCCTAAGATTTTCCTAACTTCATCTACACGCCCCGTCCAGCTTCGTCCAGCTCTAAAAGCCCTACGACCAGCAAAGCAATACATGGCCCGTTCACTTTTAAAATACCCTCCCGCTATGTATATAGGATAAGATTGCCTTTTCCGTGTGCACACCTCGGAATCTCACGTGGCATGGGAGGGTAGAGAGGCTAATATCTTCTGCAGATTAGACCTACCCCACGGAAATGCTATGAGCGCTCGATTCTCTTCATCGCATAAAATGGTAAGGCTACCGAATCCGCGCTTATTCCATTTTGGAATTTACTGACAGTCTCATAGCCAGGAGTACCATCGACGGGACTCGTGGGCCGTCAGCCGGGTGGACTTCACGATACCTTTCTTATAATTACATGGGTAGAACTCGGGGTCGCTATACTTTTCCTGAGTACAAGATGTATTACGTCCTGGAGGCTTCTACGACGAGTCTTCTTGGATCTATATTTCGCTATATTAACATTTGTAGGTTTCAAAGCACCTCGGCATGGCATAATGGCGGTACTAACCTAATAAAGCTGTTTGCAGCTGCAAGCACTATTGTACTAACAGTAGGAGCGCATCGTGGGCTTGGGGAACATATCTCTAGCTTGAACTCTGATGAGATTCGGGATGCAATTCTATTAGCCTGGATTAATCAGTCAATCGCCTTGGTCTCCATCGGCCTTGGAAAACTTACTATCGTTGCTTTCCTAGTCAGGATCCAAGGCTACCCTCAACCACGCAGATCCATCTTTCTGTGGTTCATTGGCTACAGCAATTTGATTATGAATTGCGGGGTTGTGGCCTTGATATTCAACCAATGCTCTCCGCAAGCAAAACTTTGGTATTCGACTCTGCCTGGTTCTTGTCCCAGACGACAATTACTACGTAATCTCGGCTACTTTCAGTGCGGTGGGTCTTCTCCTTAGTTTCTCAAAGTGCTAGGTAGAGTTACCTTTGCTAACTGATTTTTGATTCCTCAGGGTGGTCTGCTCTCTGCGATTTCACCCTCGCATTTTATCCAATATTTATCTTTTCCAGGGTTCAAGCATTCTCAATCATGAAGAAAATAGGTCTTTGTGTCTTGATGGGCTTTGGAGTGATGTAAAAGCAACGTATATGCCCTCTTAACGTACCCACCTACTGACAATGCCTAGTGCGGCGATCTGTGTGGTTGTCAAGGCAACGAAGCTGAAGTATGTTACAAATGTCTCGGATCCACCGTGTAAGTTATTAAATGTGCATCTGTACGAGATTTTTCCAGATTGACAGAGGCTGATCTGGAACCATAGTTGATCTACCGCAGATAATTATCTGGAACGAGGACGTGCCCATTCATCCTTTTATGGAACTCAACCCACTAACAGCAGTTATAGAACCGAGATGTGGATTGTCTTCATTGTCAGTTGCATTCCTCCATCCTGGCCTGTTTTCAAGAAAGGTGCCGCAAAAATCGGAAAGATATTTGGAAAACTTGAACCCAGTATGTTACTGGGTAATCAACACCAACAAGGAACAGCACATGAAACCTCGAAAGTATCAGCTCCTTCTATCGGAGATGAAAATTTAGTAGCTTCTGAACCCGCATAATAATGCACAGTCAAACGTCAACTTTATTTTCAATATCCAGAATATCCTTTGGAATCATTTTGCTCATGGACATACCAACCGGGTTCATCGTTTGTCTCTTACGACGGTCTGTCCTTACATCGACAAACAACTCCTACTACACTCTGGCTGTCATTGTGGAGGTTCGAATCTGCAATCAATTATTTTCGATTTTGGGACGCCAATGTTGAAGAACATGTTTGGACGAAGCATCCATTATCCTTGCCGATACAGTCATCTGCTGCGTTAGCGACCCCATTCTTCTTCTTCCTTTGCCGTTGAATAAGACCATGCAAATGTCTTCGAGGAAGATGATGAGAGCTATAGCCATTCTGGGTGCAGGTGAGATAGCTGTCATAGCCAGTATCATCCGTTTGATACTTATTATGTTGACTGGCCAATCCAAGGACGCAACTCTGGCTTTCATGAGGAATCAATATGCTTGGGTACGGCACTTGAGAAACCCATACCATTGCTCACAGCCACGAATACAGGTTTGCTGACTACGTGGTTTTGAAACAGAAATGCCAAGATTGCAATCGGAGTGATTTGCACCGCCCTCCACCGTGTCCTTCACAAATATTCCAGCGACAGACCAACGGGTCTCAATACAAACTTAGTTCGATGAGAAACCACGTATATCACCGTACTGAGAGGCCGGCAAACTCCCAGTCGTAGAGCTTGCAGCATAGCTTTGAGGGTGCGTCGGTTCCAGCCGAGAATAACTATCGCCATCAAAGTCCGATTCGCCAAATTGGATACAGGGAGAGAACCTCTCCGAAGATGAGGCCCACACATTGGCCGTGTTATCTGGAACAGAGGGGAATTCGGAGGGGACAAGTCCACCTTCCACTGGCGAAGTAGGAGGCTGATGGCCCGTCACCGTATGCATATCTTCTGTGGATACCTCAACCCTGACCAGAGGGTTTTTTGTGTGGCTTGCAGGTTCTGGTTCCCCGTGGGCAAAGTTGAGAGGCATCCAGGGGTCTGAGCTGTCGCCTTCTTTTTGAGGTGTGAGCACTATCATTGAGTCCTTGAATTGCACCGGATCTTTCAATCCCTTCGCTTTCCGGTATTCTTGCATCCGTTCACAGACCATAGTCAATAAGTATCTGGCTTTGATATCTCGATGCGCAATAATATCTTGTAGGGTTGGGTGGTTTGTTTGCAACGGCGGTACATTGGACAATGCCTCGGCGAAGATGAAATCGAAACATAGCCAAAGACGATTTGCCTCGCGTCGCATCGGGTAGGTGAAAACTTCGACTAGTAAGAGGAAAGCAGTGTGATACTGGTGGTAGGCGCCAAAATACCAGGCCCATTGCCTAAGGTCTTCCGCTGATTCAAGCTCCACCGCGGCTTCCAGCGCTTCCGTGCCTTTCGTCAAAACAATTTGACGCAGCCTGTCAGGAATTCTGTAGGTCACCGAGTTGATGTACCTGTGTAGCATTTTCACGTAAAGAAGGCTGGTGAAAAGCTGCATCACCAAGTGAGCCATTCTTTGCATTGGGCCTGGTGTTGCTGTATTAAGATACGGCCCATATTTTGTATTCATGGAGAGACGAAATTCTTCAATCCTGGAAATCGCTTTGGTCAGACTAATCCTTTTGCGGTCGACACGACTGCACAAGACCAGACACTTGCGCTGCATTTCTTGACATTCAAATCGTATAGATGAAAATATCAAATTGTTCCAAACGGGTGATGAATTTGGAGACTGTGGTGGCTTTGACAATGAAACGTCTATAGGGAGCTGTGTCGTATACCCATCGTAAGAAATATATGGTCGAGGGCCCTGAACTTCGCTTGTCTTGAGATCTAGATAGCAAATTTGGTACCACACGAGGCGGCGGGCGTAGCATTCAGTCGGCGAGAAGCCATATTCAGTAGGATCACGATGAAGTCCCATACACTCTGCGATTCGGATCGCCATGCTTGTCAATACTGTATGAGTACGAGAAATCTCGTCCACGCACATTGGCAGCTGAACATGGAGTTTGATGTCAGTATGATTAACTCTTCAGACATTACTAATACAAAGATATGTTGAATGGATAATCGTGGACATATCAGATAAGCTACAAATGCCTGCAGAGTCTCAAATTTAGTGGACTTAAGCAACTGAGCCTTTGCGAGTGATGTCTCCACCCCGACCTTCAGCTGGTTCTTCAAGTCCCCGTGGCGAGGTCGACAAGTTTCTAAGATTTTTGTCTCAGACATGCTTGACACTGCAGAGAAAAGAATGGCACAGACTAGTGCCGAAAGTGACGGTGCAACTCGATACTCATTCTCAACGGCTTCCCAAAGAGTTTCATATCGCTGTGTAAATGAAGGCCTGTAAAGGACTCGTGCCGCCGGGTGGACAGCGTCCCAGTACCTCTTGAGAAGTTTGTCTGCGATATTGCGAGGAGGAATGTATTGTAAAAGAGAATTTTGCGCAAGAGATTAGCCAAAGACGAAGTCGAGCGAAGGGGCCGTAAACGATGGCCCGGGCTTCGAATCCTCGTTGGCTGGGATAGAGGGCACAATCGGGGAAACCGATGGAGAGCTTCGCCTTGAAATCCGCTGGAGAGAGGACATGATCTGGAGCGATAGAGATTAGCAATGTTCAATGGATTCTTCAATACTGTGTCTCATGATACCTCATCTACAATCCTTGGCCGATAATGCCCCCCTATTCTCTCCCCAAGACGCATCCGCCCAATTCTAATGCTCAAGTCTTCAATGTCATCGTCTGCTTCATCTGCATACGCAGCATTATGAACTGCTAGCGGGGTAGGCTCTAGGAAGTCTTCTTGCGCTGAGCTACCGGAACCTTCGCTTTCCTCTTCGGGATGCCTCGAACGCTTACAACGCGGCCCTTTTTTTCGCAGGTTGAAGATTTTCTCGAAAGGTAATGTCGATACCATCCTTTGCTTCTTTCATCTGCATCAACCTCTGGCGAAGCTGGGTCTCGCTAGTTGCGCTGCTGACATAGAGACATTCTTCACCCAAATTTTGACAGCTATTGCACGGATTCTACCTCCTTTATTAGACAAACTGATGTACGGAAGATTATCATAAACTCTAAATACCCCTCGATCACATTTCAGCTTTCTCCTCCGACATTCAAGACATGAGTGAATGATTCTGTTGCGGCGTCGAGCTTTCTCGCGGGGCTTTTGGGCGCCACCATCTGCTGAAGATGGCGTGGCATCGGGCGATACTCTTGGTTGTGGTTGAGTACTGCAAGTATTCGAAGTTTTTGCCCTCATCATGGGGATTCAACAAGGCTTGAGAGGCGACGGTTAGGTTTGGGCCAACTTGGGGCGAGGAGAGGTGTAGGGCAGAAAAGCAAAATTGAGGGGAGCAGCAGCCGTAAGCAGGCTGAACGCTGGGGCGGAACTTGACGCTATTACAGTCAAACCAATGGTCGGCATTAATACAGCTCAATAAATGTGCCTTACGCAACTGTTCAGCCACTTTCAGACTTGATCTGGGACCCTGTGGCTGAGATAACGATTAGAGAAAGGGTTAGCCCCCAAGGATAATCTGATTACCATACAAATAGGCGGGGGATGAGTACACGCTGAAAATCATATCCTGAAGGGTCCTAGCGGTATTTTAATATCCCCTCAGTTCGACAAGTCTTCTCCCAGCCAGCTGCACGTGAATTCGCGTAATGACGAATTATAGTAAGCTAACTGGTTAACGTGATCCACAACCAACAGGATCACCCTAAAGTACAATATTACAAAGGGGGCGGTGGATTCATCAGCATTTATACTATGGTACTTCCGCCCTCCCCCCACCAAATTCTCTACCGCCTGCCTTTATTGTCCATTCACTACTTCACGAGCACACACATTACGTGCTAAAGCGCTATTATCAGGATTACACTACACTTCTCCCCCTTCTTCGCTATTCTCTATCTAGAACTGCCTTATTACATAGCGCAGGTTATTAGCTACGAAGGCTGACACATGACTCACGAGATATCAGGGGACTTCATATGGGAACTGAATTTCTAACGCCAGAATAATAGTGGGTCTCTTGGCATGCCAAGGTACAACGGTACAAAACTAATGAACTCTGACTGTAAAATTGATAAAGTACAACGAGGTATCTTAACAACTAATCTCTTTCGAAAAAGAGATGTCAGAGCAAGCTGAGACAGTATGGCATTTTATGCAAGAATGGGGCTAATCTACCAAGGGGAACCAATCCAAAAGACAGAATGAATTGAATTGAATTAGTTTAAGATAAAAAGAGCGGATGATGCGAGGACCTGTTTGAGTGTCCTTGCTTACATGAGCAGGGAAAGGGTGGTTGGAACTCCCGATTCTCGGAGGTGTCGAGAATCCCCTAGTACGAATATAGAAATCACGAAACTAAATGGAACTAAACTGTTTCTGGTGTATTTTACTACCCCACTTTACTTGACAAGAGATTAACATATATAATCTTATGAAGGTAAAGATGGGGAGGTGGCTTGGCTGCGATTGTTCTCCCTAAGGAGTGGTCCTTTGTTAGGCCCCATGGAGACCCTGTCGAATCCCCAGCTTTTCGCGTCAATTCCAAAGGCCTTTGGTAAGGATGTCACGCGTGTTACACTCAGGCACGAAGATATCAAATCAACATGGTAGCATTCAACGAAAGTATCAAGACTGGAGAGGAGATGAAAGAGAAAACTATCTTGTGGGATGATGTTTGATATATCCCCCGATAAGAAACGCCTTTTCTTAGCTTCCCGATTCGGTCATGTTTGTTTCCATCGCCAAATCCCTCCCGTCACGTCTAGGTCGTCACAACGCGAATCTTCTTTCCTGCTCTCCTCGTTCTGGCCCTCGAGGGGCCTTCGAGGAGGTTCCCGCTTGCCGTGTGATCCAGGTCAATTACGTCATGTAACTTATCTAAAAAGATCTTGAGGATAAAGGATCCGCATGCAGAGGGTCATAGGAGATACTCAATATTCAGTTGATGTATGAATGCACACAAAAGTTATTGTCTTGTCTACAAATCGTTTCCTTTACAATCCCTTTTCAGTATTCCCAGTTCTCTAGCCATTTCTCTACCTGAGCCTTGAGCCTCTCTTCATTTACAGTCTGGGTGACGGAGCCCTTCCTCATAATTTCCTGCCAAGTTACGACCAGTAGCGCGTATCGTACCTTTCTGGGCTACGCCACGTAATCGTTATGGAGTGTGGTCTTAGGGTCTTAGAATACCTCCATAGCTTGGCTAAGAGAAGGAATCTTTCGACTTTTGAGTGCCTTAATGGCTAATAGGACCTGTCTCTCTCGCCCTGGTCACTTTTGACGATTTCATTGCGTTTTGGTGGCATACTGTGTGTTGAACATAGCAGGTGTAGAAAAGCGATGCATTTTTGGACAGGTGTTCCGCCAGACCGGGTGTTCTGTCCGACTGGAAATTACGTTACTCAAAAACTGTGATATACCTACCAATTTCCATAACTTTACTAGTTAACTAACGTAATTCCCGGTTGATCGGAACACACGGTTGATCGGAACACCCTATCCAAAATCGCGTCTTTCTACCCACCTACCCACTTCAACCACCTACCATGCCACCAATTCGCACTGAATCTAGCCATAAACTGGCCAATCAAGAGGGCAGGATCTTATTGGCCCTTTCCGATTTAAAAGAGGACCGTATCAAGTCTCTCCGCGCAGCAGCAAAGCTATACGAAATACCGCTCACAACACTACATTCGCGCTTACACGGTCAATCCTCACGCGAAGATAAACGCCATCCTCGCCATAAATTGACCCAATACGAAGAGGATTCGCTTGTTGAATAGATTATCTCTATGGATACGCGTGGAGCAGCCCCTAGGCCGGCTACTGTAGCCGAAATAGCTAATATCCTACTCGCTGCGCGCGGTAGCTACCCTCCGCCTACCGTTGGCAAGAATTAGTCATCAACATTCATAAACCGACGTGAAGAGATTCGAACACGCTTCTCCAGGCGTTACGACTACCAGCGCGCACTAAACGAAGACCCAAAATCGCTACGAGCCTGGTTTGCGACCGTACAAAGCGTGGTTGATGAGAACGGGATACAACCGGAGGATATCTACAACTTTGACGAGACAGGCTTTGCAATAGGCCTTATATCTTCGCAGAAAGTAGTTACAAGGGCTGAATACTACGGTCGGAGATCCCTTCTACAACCAGGAAATCGTGAATGGGTTACTACAATCGAAGCTATCTGCGCAGATAGCTATTCGCTACCACCATACGTGATCTTTGAGGCAAAAGTTACTATTGCGGGTTGGTTTGATAACCTACCAAAAGATTGGCGGTTTGAGGTCTCGGATAATGGCTGGACTACTGATGAGATTGGCCTACGTTGGTTACAAAAGCACTTTATCCCACACACGAATTCGCGCGTACGGGGTCGGTTTCGGCTACTAGTTCTTGATGGCCATAGTAGCCATCTTACGCCCCAATTCGATCGAATTTACGCAGAAAACGCTATTATACCCCTTTGTATGCCTGCGCATTCATCACATCTACTACAGCCACTAGATATTGGTTACTTTGCGGTTATTAAGAGGGCGTACGGCTGTTTTATTAGCAATCTTACGCGCAGAGGATCTAACCATATCGATAAATTCGATTTTTTGGAAGACTACCAACGCGCGCGGCTAGAAGCCTTCCAATCAACCAATCCTACTATTCAAAACAGCTTTACAGCTAGTGGTCTAGTACCATTAGATGCAGAAAGGGTCCTCTCGAAGCTCAATATCTCTCTACGAACTCCGTCACCACCAAATAGCCGGCCAAACAGCAGATCTAGTCAATTCACACCAAAAACGCCTAGAACCGTTATTCAGCTACAAAAGCAAGCTTCATTGATAAAGGATCTACTAAAACAACGGTCAAATAGCCCTCCGAGCCCGGTCAACAGCATGATAAATCAACTTATCAAGGGTAGCTATCTATCCTTGCATAGCGCTGCGTTGCTAGCAGAGGATAACGCGAATCTCCGCGCAGCTAATGAGAAGATCGTCAAGAAGCGTAACCGGTCGCATAAGTTTATACCCTGCGAAGAGGGTTTAACCGTCGAAGAGGGCCTACAGCTAGTTGCACAGCTAAACCAGCCGGTAGAAGCTGATAGGGTAGTATCGCATACGCAGGGCGAATTGCCTAATCAGGCAGATCCACCACGTACTAGGGCACCTTCTAGGTGTAGTGGGTGTGGGGGAATTGGGCATAAGATCAATCATTGTAAGAATCGTTAGCAATAGAAAATTATATGGGTGTTGATGGAGATAATCGAATTTGAAATTTTCTAATTGGTATAGGTGTTCCGATTAACCGTGTGTTCCGATCAACCGGGAATTACGTTAGTTGACTAGCTCGCTTGTGGATTATGTAATGGTGTTTTGGAGTGATCCCGCTTGGGTCGTGAGATCACATTAACTAAGCTGGTCAGTGCGGTTTGCTTAGTCAACCCAACACCCATTCAACGCCCCATAACGTCAGATAGTAATCACCAAACGAAAATCTGAGATCCAAAATCAGATTGCTAATCAGAGGGGAAATATAGACGGTATTTAATCGTTTAATGCCTTTACCGCGGTAAGGACAGAGAGAGACTATGGCAAGTCCCGCTGGACAACTGTACGTTGGCTGAGCCTTACTTTCTTATTCTTAATTTCTTCTTGCACACCGGCTCATTAGCTCATATAGCAAAGGGCGACGGAAGCCTTATACTCAAGTTGCATGGTATGTTCGCATGAAGTACCGGCGGCCATCAGTACTAACATTATCAGTGAGGCGTGCCGAAGACGCAAGGTCAGATGCGATGGTCGACAGCCGTGCCATCGCTGTGACAGTTTGGATCTAACTTGTCTGTGGTTTCCCCCTCCGACGTTAATGTATAGAAACTAAGTGAAATATAGGTAATTACGTTGCTCCTACGAAACCATTGGCACCACCAGTCATAAACCCCCCGGAATCTTGGTACTTTCACTATATCCGTTCAATACGCCAGAGTTGCTAAGCATGCCCTAGGGATGTAACAAGTCTGAGGTCTCAAGTCACTTCACTTCAGGTGGAATTACAGGCTGTGACAACACAGCTGAAGCAAGCCACAGCACGTCGAGAATCCGAACCCAAGATTCAGCCGGACACTGCTAGATCTGGGGAGGGGCAGAGTCACACACCCATCAAGGGTTCAGATATAAGCAGCATTCCGCATCGAAAAGATTGCCTTTACCATGGGCCTGCAGGCACTGCTTTCACATTTGACATCGCACGAGGCAACCTACAAAACATGGGGCTAATGACTGTGTCAACCGACGACGATAGCCCCCTAGACTACTATTCTACAGACGATGACCTTGAAACGCGACAACATATACAAGACCCTCTATGCCACGTATCAAGGGAAGAAGCGCTACGTTTGTGCAAGGCGTTTGCAGAAGAAACCAACATCATGTATCCATTCCTCGACATGGACAAGATTATACGTCATATTGAAGGACTTAGAACATCCGATGATGCGAATGGAAGCTGGATGATCTCGGGTGATGACAAAGATGTTATCGCCCTTGTGCTAGCAATATCTCTAATGAGAGAAAGTGCTGGGGAGAGCGAGCTGGGCAGGTCACTGTTCCATTCGATCAAGAATCGATTGGAAAGGAGGACGTGGGCTCCGATATCTGTCACCGGTATCAATGTTTTTGTTCTAGCGGTAAGTTCATTTGTCTTCTACACTCCTGAGGATGTAGTGTCTGAACCATTACAGGCTCGGTACTATTTCTATGCGGATGAAGACGAAAGAATGGCTTGGCGAACAATCGGTATTGCGGCGAGACAATGCCTTGAATTAGGACTCCACCATGTCCAAGGATACTCGAACTTAGAGGAAGAAGATTCTCGGCCGGCCCTCATCCTATTCTGGTCGGTTTTTGCCCTAGATCGCCGTTGGAGTTTTGGTACTGGGTTGCCCTTCTCGATACAGGAGGCAGATATCGACCCATCCCTGCCAGAGCCAGTATGTGCAACCTAATTTTTACTCGAAGAGTTTTGTTGAATTGCGTAGATTCTAATGTTATCACTAGGATGATTCCTATATCTATCTCAAGACCATGATTCCGTACTGTCGAATAAGTTCCAAAGTCTGGTATGCCGGTCTCGGTACAGGAGAGATCTCGAAACTACGAAGGGATTGCATGGAAAACCTCGACTCTCAGGTCCTCCAATGGTACGAACAGATGCCAGAATCTCTCAAGTGCCCAAATCCATACTGCACTGATGTCGGCCTAAATACGGTTCTGAGAAGACTCCAAATTCAAATGTATATCCGGACCAACATCATGCGCATCTTGATCTACCGGCCGATTCTCTATAACTACGCCAATATCTTGCAAAATATGCCGCATGCGGTGCTATGTGTGCACCTTGCGAAAGACACGATACGTATCCTATATCAGACGCACAAGGCAACCGAGATCTACAAGTCTCAGCAGACACTATTCAACTTTTTTGTCTTGTCTTCTCTGGCAATTATCTTTTTAGCGTGTTTTCATGATCCGGCAGACTTCTGTGCATGTGTCCAAGAAGAAGTCTTCATGGCCCTTGAACTCATCAAGGCCGTGAGCTCCAGGTCGCGAGTTGCGAGACGACTGTGGAAAGCCATTCGAGATCTTCGGGAGGTGGGTGAGAGACTCGGTGTCCTATCCCCCGCCAGTCCTGTCGAGAGATATCAAACCTCAACTGTAGATCATGGCACTTATATCCAGCCACCACCTCCTGTACATGGCGGGAACGAGGCTAACGTTCCAATGACCGGGACCATAATGAGTGCTGAACTGACCAATCTGCTGGAGGAAATTGGGATGTATCACCCTCTCACTACTGAACACTCTGGCGAGGGTAATGGGAATAACGATGTCTTCCGCCGTCCTTCAGAGCAATCATCGTGGGAGCATTCCACCTCACCTCAGTGGAGCAACGTTGATAGCCTAACTGAGGTCCTAAATCCACTATTCTGGAATAACTGATCTCTTAGCGTCTTTGAAAGAAAATTTGCAAACTCGTTTTATTGTCAGTTGCTCTTGGATTACTTCTAAAGTGAATACTGTTCTATGTAGGACAGCTAGAAAGTTAATACTAGCACTATTTGCTTTGTTTTGTATTTTGAAACGATAATAATCAATGGAAATCTATGGCTCTTCTATGGCTCTTCTATCGTCTACACGACCGCGATAATGTACGGAATCGAGGAGTGGAAAATCCTGCTCTCAAAAATGGCGGCGATTGGACAGTGGCGAGTATTTTTGCGAAGAGAAAAACAGTGCAAATGTACAGCTGACCAGTGGCTTGCAGATAAAAGCGACAGCCAGTATAATCCTTATGCTAAATAAACCTTTTAAGCGATAGTAGAAGCAAATGGACTGATACTACCCCATATATATAGAATAAGATTCACGACACACAACCTCTCGACATTCTCACCGTCCCGGCCCACAGTCAAAATACATTCCATCCCCAGACGTCCGGAAATTCCTCTTGGCATGAACAAAGGAAGTCAAGGCCTTACTGGCTATATGCACGGGGCCAATAGCTCTTGTTATGGCTGGAATTCTTGATGGCACTCTGGCCACATGTCCGAGACTAATGCTTCCCTTGATCAGAGATACTACGCCAATGCTAGAACGGCAAGAGGATAGGCGATATATTCAACATGGGAATATTTGGATCTCAGATGAGGTTCCTGACGGCCTAGATAGGATGCATGCATATCTAAGGGAGCGTACAATGAGGAAATTGTGAACTTAATGATGTATTTTATTGTAGAGATTCCTTCTGATGTAGCCGGTTAGATAAAAATTCGCGATGTGCACTCAACTGTTAGGGGATACCGATTCGTGAACTCCAATCAGCATTGCTTCTAATCAAAACCGCCAATATCTAGTCTAAATATCACCCCTCTTAAACGCTTCTGTTTTCACGGAGATTATCAACTTATATAACTAGAGAGGGCATTTTGAAGCATACATGCTTTTTAGTATACTTATGAAGAAAGAAACTGCTGATCCTAGATTTCATAATTATCAGAATTGGTGTTCTTCCTTAGCAGGAACATATCATAATATCGCACTTGATTCTAAGATAAAATTACTGTTCTATGTGTTAAGAAGTATCACTTTTCAAAGTTCCCACTGAACTTTTCCATCGAATCATCATTCAATCTTTTAAGCCAACTTTCTTCCGATGAACAGAATATCTGTGCGTCTAGCACGCCGAGGCCATCGCTAGAATCCAATGTGCCATATTTCACCACTCTAAGTCCAGGGTATTTCGGCGATTCCGCTGCCAGGGTACTCCCACAGTGATGACATATATATTGTAGTATCAGCTGGCCTTGTTCATTGGGGCGACTAAACACCGTTGGAGAGCCACAGAATGTGTGGGATAGCCTTGGGACCAGAATATTGGTTGAAAATGCCGAGCCAGTATTTCGCTTGCAATCTCTGCAATGACATATCACGATCTAATTGAACGCTAAATGTGTCAGAAATAGTCCTAAGGGGTTTGTATAACTAAGGGTGCCTGGCTTGCCTTTAAGAGTTGCTTATTATCATGTAGGACAACTCGATATCGGATCAAGCCACAGAGGCATCCCCCTTCTAATGTCTCCGTTATTTTCTGATTTGGAAGCATGATGTAATCACTGTTTTGCTGCGTTATGCTGCTACTACTGCCTGGGAAACTTAGATTTTAGGCACTGAATTTATAATGAAATAAACAAAGCTGGAATGGTGGAATCCAACGAAACTGTCCAGTAGGGACGGAATTGGAATTTTAGCTACTCTGCGGCCTTCGGAAAGTATTTCTATATCCGGCAGAATAAAATACCCTGGAACATGCTAGGATACGGCCGTATTGCAGCCCCTAATCGGTGTGAGTCACAAATGTCGCTAGGCTACGGCCGTATACCACAACCTGGCTAGTGATTATTCGTGCCCTTCGGCCCACCCACACCGCTTGCTTCCCTGGGTGCGCTACACCGGAAAGGCCTTTGCCACCGGAAGGGCCGTTTTCACCAATTCACACTACTTACACGACCTCAGTGACGCAGCAAAAGATTCAGCACCCAAGGTTCTGCCAGTCAGGCATCCGCCAGTGAAAGGCCAATTATACGGGGTGGCAGAACTACTTCAGGAAGGCGGTAATGAAAAGGTTGTCCAACTTTTTGCGTCAAGCAAGAGTGGGTCCATTCATTACAGTGACATCTGATTGGCTCGTTCATTTCCCATCTTTCTAATGTGATTGTATGTATTTAGCGGGTAACGACTCGATACCGGTAAGGTCACTCGAATACTCGGCTACATCGCCTAGGAACAGATCAGCCAGCTCGCCATTCAGTTGTCTGCTCCTGTTGTTTCTTTGGTCTAATCGATCAATCTTTTGTCTGATTCCGGTAGTTCTTATTCGCCATTCTGCGTACTAGCTTATACCGTTTTTCCTCACTTTGACATTTTGTCAGGATGAGGAATTTATATACTGGCTAGTACTGAGATGTCCAATAGAACCAGTTGATTGATTGATTGAAGATAAGAGTGGCTGAACAGCCTTGAGAGTCTGTATCATTCAGCTGTGGTGTGTTACGGGGCACCATATTCGGAGTCTAACCCGAATACCGTACGAATGCTTGGGGTATTGCGTGGACGATGAACATCTTATCTTAAAAGGGTCTTAGTGGTATTTGACCACTCCTTCCGCTCGACACATTTTGCTGTTGACTCTATATCGATGAAAAAAACTCTCCACTCTCTTGCGCTACTCCTGCTGCTTCGATTGATACCCCACTCTCCTTGTATGTTTTAGCTCCTCGCCGTATACTTCCCTCCACTGCTTTCGTAGCGGGTTCTCTTGGGCGGCAGCTTCTTTCGCCTTCCTGACTGCAATTGAACGTGTGTGGCTACACCGGTCTAGCTAAACGGCATAACCTGTCGCTTAGTGTATCGACGCCGTAGGGGTTCTTGCGCAGCTCTGATTCGCGCAATTGTGTCTTGGGTCATCTGGACTGCGCTAGCTGAGATCGCTCGTGGTCGAAAATCTTCGTGGGATCTCGCGGTACTTTATTATCTTTGCCTGGTTTTTCTGGTACGCTTAATTGATATTGGAGGGGTATATCGGCGCTAGAGGATGAGCGAGCTCTTGGTGGCTGGCAGGATGTGCTGTATCCACGAAGATCAGGCGCGCTTAGATCCGGTATTACTAGCTGGTTAGCAAGATTATCAACAATCCTGCTACCGTTGATTGGCCAGACACCACAGTCTTTGAATGATTCGCGAATAATTCGCTGGTTGAAGGCCTTCAGTCGTATTGGTACGATATTGCGTAGGAATTCAGACTTCCCTACTGGCTCACCCGCCCAAATAGATCGTTACTGAAGCTCCGGCAGGTCACGCCAGTTTCGGGTAGGTGACATATTATTTCCAAGGTTTGCAGGCCCAATACAATAATTGAAATCGCCATCGCGGCGGATCGGACTTTGTTGCGCGACAATTCCCGCATCTTCGGCTGATCTGAGACTCGGTGAGCAAGCTCCGGACGATGCAAAGCGCTGCAGGTTGCAAGATATATCATTTCCAGGAGTGCCCGATGAAGATGCATGACTTTTTGCCCTTCGTCAAGTTCGCCAGGGGCAACAGGGGAGAACTGGATTGTTGGAGGGAGCTGACTTCGCCAGGCTTCCAATTCTTGGTCACACTGCCAAATCTCCGATAGCTCACCTAGGAACCTTCTCGTGATGGTAATCCTGTTAATTGTATTCCCCATACTTCCAACTTGGTTGTTCAGGTCCGGGTATTGAGCGGACAGAACGTGGCCAAGGGTGACACAGAGCTTTGACCTTTCAATAAACATAATTATCAAATGCCTTTGATAGCCAGCATTTTGAAGGACCTCAGAATAGCCAAGAAATCTGATGACGTTCTCAGAGACGGGGAGGAGAGAGAAATCATCGGTAGTCACCATAGGCACATCAAAATCACAGTCTCTGATCCGCATCGGCTGTCTCATGGCCAAAGCTAGTAGACGGTCACTGATGTAAATGGACCACCAAATTCGTTTCCACATACCATAATTACACACAGATTTCTTGACCCGCGATGCAAACCAATAGAGTGTGCGAGAGATATACTAATCCCCAGCCAGTACCAACTGTCCTTTTGGTCGGCATTCATCTCATTGGTATGTGTCATTAGTAGGAGAGACTGGACAAGCGAGATTGGATCGGTTTCATATTCGAGATCGTACAAACGCCTTACTCTCATAAAAAATGTCTCTCGGGCTAGCTTTCGATTTGCGTAGCCAGCTACTCCTAGATGCTCGAAGTCAATATACGCCATCGCAGCAAACATCATTGCTTGGAATAGCAAAAGACTTAAGGGCCGCATCCCGTTCTCCAGCACAATGCTCTGTATTAAAACAGAAATGTCTAAGATAGGCATGCTGGGATGCACGTAATGCACGTAGGCCTTGAGCAGCTCCTTACGCAACTCTGTATCAGGGACCGTTAACGCTCCCGTCAAGGCTAGATAGTCGACATCCTCGACCTGCAGTCTGGACGACGGCTTTCGGACGAAGCCTGGAAGTTTTGCAGCCTTCTGATCATATGACAGCTGAGGCGTGGAGTCATCCGGCGAAACCAAAGGGAAAGCGCAAACATCAAGGCTTGATCGATATTTGCACGGCGCATCCGCAGTCGATACATCCGATTGATAATCGCCTGCTCCAATTCTATCAGACCTTATACTCTGTGCGAACTTGCAGATCCTGGCTAGCCTTTATTGCAAATAGGTGAAGGTTGAAGGATGCTAACCTTTGAGTTCTACTTTTCCCACAGATACTTGCATCGAATTGCCTAGACGGTAATCATCCAAAGACTTAACCCAGATATCGGAGAGTATATAAGGGGGGTGGGCATCTTCAGAAGTACAAAATGATCCAGCCTCCTGGCGCTTATTTTTGTACCCTTTTTCTTCTGACCTGAAGAGAATTACAAATCTTAGCGTGCTAATAAGTGTTGGAAGCTAGCAGAGGGGCTGAGGTTTGCAAGCTAACCGTCCGTTCGGACATTCGATAACCGTGCAAGAACGCGGCTAAATTTGCAATTGGTACAGGGTGATCCATGCTGGATCATACCGGTATGCTCGTGGGGATCGTCGTTTCGAGTGTTTGGAAGTAGGTATGCTTGGCTTCACCTCAGACTTCGTCTTTCTGTGAGAGAGGCCTAACCTCCCCGACGATGTAACCGCGGTCGTCATTGTAAAGTCACCAAACGATGTCTTTTTCGTTGAGTTTCATGACTTTAGTCCTTCATCTAAACCTGAAGGACGAAAATAATCATTGTAGAAGGAAGCCTGGAGATGATCAACCCATGATCAACCCCTTGCTCGGGGTAATTCGTAATACTTAACTTGATAAACCTTCCCAAGACATAAAAATCGCGAAGTATGTGCGGCTTGGCATGTGGTGCAATGTTTAATCAATTAATCAAAAGGGGAGTGTCGGGCTGTCGAGCCCCGAAATCGTTCCAATTAGCGAAATTTGTCCGAGCTGATCATCCTTTCAAATAAGGCGAATACGAACATCACTTTCAAACCCCTCGTCCTTGCTATTCCTGAACATATTCTTTTTCATTTCATTTGATCTATACAGTGTCTATATGTATGGTGTGATGCCGCCGTTGTTAGAGGCTATAGAACCGGTTGGAGGGTTGAACCCCTCGACAAGCTGCTCTTACAGACGTGGCGGGAGCTTCTGTTAGGCAAACAAACTCACAAAGCCGCTGGCTTGCCCAACACATGTCTTAATCATCGCGGCTACACACTCCGTCGGAGACCCATACCGATACCTACTTATAGTTTGCTAGATATTATCGCCTAATTTTCCCGCTATGAATCAAGTACTTACATACTTGAAGTTTTGTTAACTGGCAGCACGGAACCTTGGTGAATAAAAACCGTGTTAATCACAATAATTTAGGATTGACCTTTGACTAGTTGATTTATTGAGCAGATTGAAAGTGTGGAAACGCAGCAGGCATCTTATATACCAATGTAACGTCGATGTCACTGGGCAGGCGAATCCCCTATTCTGTGATAACTGGACTAAACTGATCTGAGTTGTGGTAGAAACACAAGAGCACATGATAAAAAAAGGCGGGGTAGTTGAAGAAACCACGCAAACGTCACTACCATCAGATTAGAATGTGGGTCCATCTCGGTCGATGCAGATCGGAACCTTCCCCCGCAACGATATGGGGGTAACAATCCAGAGATATCTAAAATATATAATGCCATTCCGGGTCTTCCTTCCATCTCTCTTTCTCTACCATGCGACTTAGACACCTAGAGCTTTTATCCATACTTTTCTATCGCGACGACATTCGGTCATGGAGAATAAAACAGATCACTCGGCAATTGACGATAAAGATACCTGCGTCGATCTCCATGAGCATGTCATGCTCGAGGTCGGCCGCCCGTCTATTGGTGGGATATTGAAATATAGCAAAAATGGAATCTTACTTGATCCTCAACCAAGTGAAGACCCGCACGATCCTCTGAACTTCTCGCATTTGGAGAAAGGCCGCGTTCTGACTGGACTAGCGTATTGGGCCTTTCTGGGGACTGCCAACTTGATCATCGTTGTAAGATAAACGTATTGGCATTAACGACTAATCCTACCTCCTGAAGCTGACCGGATGACATCTGACAGACTCCTGCTTTTTTTGAAATTGCTGAAAATTACAGTATCTCCCTCGAGTCTGTAGCTTACGCAGTGAACGGCCCCCCTCATTGCATATGGAGTTGGAGTAGGTTACCTGCAACGCGACAAATCCCGAGCCGGGCCAATGCTAAACGAATATACAGTGCCTTTTGTGGGTCCCCATTGGGAACCTCGTGGGAGTGCGAGTCTCATTTCTGATATCCGCCTTCGGAGCCGCAACCTTGTCAATTTGGGCTGCTCTTGCACCCACTTTCTCCCAATTTGTCATCGCCCGGGTTCTCGCTTCTCTCTTCTTCGCATCCCCAGAAGCATATGGTCCCCAGATTGTTACCGATACTTTCTACCTACACCAGCGCGCTGCCAGCACGAGTGTCTTCACTGCATTCCAATTCTGTGGATTTACATTTGCCGGCTTTATAGGAGGCTACGTAACTATGAGTCATGGGTGGCGTGCCCCATCATGGGTCATGGTTATTATGTCCTATATTGCATTTCTGGTCGTCGCCTTTATTTTTCCAGAGACTACGTTCACTCGATCCAAGGCATGTAAACGCAATGCAAAGCGACGGTATATTCACACTCTCAGTTTGAGTCCCGGAAGTGGAGGCGGACCACCAAAATCCTCCAGTTTGTGGAGATCGTTTGCAGCGCCATGGAAATACGTCTTTCACCCGACGGTTATGCTCGCGACCTTGTTTTTCTCGCTGTTCCTGGCAACCAATGACTACCTATTAACTAGCAACTCCATCGTTTATCCGTTGGAGTATGGATCCACTTTGGAAGAGGTGGCTCTTACTTCCTTTGCGCCAACTGCTGGCTGTCTCCTAGGAATTCTCATTGGGGGTTGGGCGAATGACAAGGTGGGTTTCCCCTGCTATTACAGCTCCAATTAGATCATCAGCTGATTTATGGCAGTACGTCGCATGGCAAATATCCAAAAATACTGAAGGTGTCTTTATCCCTGAGATGCGACTTACTATGGCCATCATAACAGTCATTCTAGGCCCTGTGGGTCTTGTCCTTTTCGGAACTGCCGCTCAAAATCATGTCCACTGGATTGTACCGCTCCTGGGAGAGTTCATGGTCAATCTATCTTTAGTCATAGCCGGAAATATTACGTATACATACATGGCCGATGTGTATCAGGAGCGAACCGACCAGGTGCTTGTTATGCTGAATGCTCTGAAGAACTTGTCAGCATTTGGCTTGGTGTATGCTATTACGCCTTGGAACACTCATAGTGGCTATAGTGTTGCTTTTGGTTGCCTAGCGGTCATCTTGTTTGCTGCTCACTTGCCACTTGTTCTATTGTATTATCGGGGTGCGAGGATGCAAGCTTGGGAGGCCAAGGAATTTCCTGTTAAATAGATAGACAGGACTTTATAATCTCTTTTACAGATCCGTCACTACGTCTTACCAATTCTGCCTCATATATCAATGCTATCATATTTCAAATCTTACCTCGTAATTCTGAGAATGCTTTGGCAGTATATGTTACGGATAATCAACTCGCAGGGTAGAAGATCTGCCAATCAGGCAAGAAGATGAGTGACCAAGTCTCAATTGGGAGCAAGAGTGATTCTTGGGGTTCGGAAAGGGACCCCGAAGCAATGATCTTTTACAGTCAACTAAGGAGGAGATATGGTCAATAACGCGGGGTCCGGTCCCGCCAGTGTATCCAGACCAACTGGCGACTTCTGACCAACATGCGCTCGATTCATTGTGCGGTCGCCCTCCGCAAAATACCGGAAGCATGGGAATAGCCTCATCAGAAAATCCCATGACAGCAAACTAAGATGGAACATGTGACAGGGTGTATTTACATATTGTGACTGGGGTTTTATAAAGCTAAAATACGAAATTATTGGCAAAATTATGTAATTTTGGGTATATCAGGTTCATGTTCGAGGTTCTGACCCTGGGAACCTGAGTCGGACCATTTCGAGGCCTAAACGTCCCTTGGTCGCATCAACCGTTTCCAGGCCCATGCAGTACGAAAACTCTTGATCAAACCTCTCATTATAGCCAAGAGAAAGCTCTAGAGCGGTGGATTTGAGAGAGATATCAGATGGGCCGCACCAGCCTAGGGTGGTTCAAATCGGCCTCACAAGTTATTTTTACGCGAAAATCACTTGATGGGTCTGATCCTCTAATTCTCTTAAAGATGTGGGCTTATGCCAGTCTTCAGCGATTCACGCGATTTACACCAAATTAAGGCAAAACATATGGACTGCAAGCTATTTGAGGCCAAATTCGATAGGGAGCAATAATTTGGTTACAAGGCCCCAAATTCTATATCAGGGATCCCACAACGTCTACAATTTTTGTATGGGGTCTTCACAACTAGCCCTGCAGAATGTCCTTCGGATCGGAGCGGCATGGTTAGAAATATCGGCCTGGAGAGGGGTGTTGCTAGACGGTGGGATTGTCTCCTACGGGATTCTACTGATTCAGTATTTCAAATAGCCCTTGGAGATTAAGACAGAAACTCAAATAATCGGTCTGATTCCCAATATGGCTTTCTAGCCGTCCTTCTTCATCGACTCTCCTTACCTAGTTGATTGGAAACTGTTCTGGTGTACAGGCCTCAGCATATTTGAATGAGACTAACTTTGAATTAGGCAAATATAAGGCAGAAACCGTTAAATATAACTACCAATCTGTCAGGTGTCAATCAACCAAATCTACTATATCTCATCAACGCAAATTATGTATGGTCATCCAATGTATCGGAGTGAACGGGGATACGAAAACACCCTACTTCATCCTTCGAGTCGGGATCTGACTAGAACGTTGGCATCGTCTCGATAACTTTTGGACCAGACGATTATCGTAACGCGGTTTCGAAAAGGGCTATGCAATGGACGAATTAGCTTATTATTAGTTAAAATCCTTCGATTCTTGAGCACACGATAGCATGAAGAAGAGCGAACAGCGATTATTTTTCTTATTCGACGGACATGGATCTCATCTTACAATTGAGCTCATATTGTTCTATCATCAAAACGATATGACCTTTTTTATCACCTATTCAATACATTTTGCTTAACCTCTCCATCGTATAAGCACTATTTTCTGTCGCGAAATCGTGAGCTTGGTAAACGGGGCGGATTAACCCAAAATAAGGCTGACTTCGAGAAAGTGTATCAATTCGGCAAAAAAAATTTAAGCAAAGGACAATTCGCGATGCGTTAAAACAGTGAGAGATCTGTGCATTAAACCCATCGAAGGTTTTAAATCAATTCGTGGGAGTTCGAATACTCAAGATGTTTAATCACCATTGCCAGAACCTGCATCAAGGACTACTAATTCGCCACCAAAATCAACCAGAAAGATGCGGCGGAGTAGTGCAAAACGGCAAAATCAATTGAATTTGTTTGAAGACCAGTATAATGACGATATGAAGAGCCAATCTGCAGAGATCCAACTGCTTTACAATCTAGTTGAACAATCGCTATTTCAACTTGGCGAGGCCTTACCAGTCTACCAGACCGACAACAAATGTTTTGGTCAAATTCAAACTCCTACTACCAAGAAGAGACAGTGCCAAGTCTCGAAATGGCCTTTGTCTAATTAAAAAGGACATATCGCATGTATAGCTTCATGATGAGAGGAGGTCTATAAGAGTGTCCACTGCGCGCGGACGATCCCGCCAAAACGCCACCACTATTGAAAAATTTAGAAAAATCGTCAAAGATGCAGAGAGGGCAATTGAATATATCAGTGATTTATGATTTTCTGATCTTCACCCATTTTGCTAGAGATAGTTGAGAAGGCAAAATGATTTTTTATCTTATTACGTTCTGGCCTACCCTTAACGTGGAAAAGTGGTGTGGGTGTGTTGGTAAGCTACGATTAGCTCCCAGGCTGTTCAAGGATCAACGGTCCACCCCTTATTCCAATAGCCCCTAGCCTATGTTTCTTCTAAGATGTGACTCCTAGCCAAAATAGAATAGAATATATTATTCGTTCTTCCGATCATGAGTAGTTGATGCGTCTCTAGATTGAAGTCTGGCAATAACAGGAAGAATTAAAGGATTGGCCGAGGCGGTCAATGCTGGCAATTCTGGTAACCCTTGCTTGTTTAAAGGTTATTCTTTTCCAACAAGGGCCTCTGCCCGTCGGTCCTTTTCCCCTGCGGTATCGAAAAGCAACGCAATTGCCACAGGAGCCTCCTTACACTCTCGTACTTCGCAGTCATCGCGGCCTCAGTGATCCGCCCCCCGTCCTTAGCCGACCGCAGGGAAATCCTTTCCATATTGATACATTCTCGAAATCCTGGGACGCTCCGCAGTCAAGAGAAACTTAGTGCTGCCATAGATCACTGATTCCGAAGGGCGTTCCCATTGGGATCGGAGGTCATGTGTAGATGGTCTAATAACGTCGGCACGATCAGGCTGCGTCCGTCCTAGAGTTTTTCGGCGCCAGCCTCCGACGCCAGCCAGCCTCTTCATATAAACGGGCTGGGCCCCAGAGTTGCACAAAAATCGAGATTTTGACTACGCTCTCGAAGGGAACTACCGGGATCAGTACGAGTAACGGCATTGAAGATGGTACTAGCAGCTTTCAATATCCCCACGTGGTAAGATGAGCCTTGCTCTTATCTATTGAGCACGGAACCGTCATTCACCATCACTACAGGCTTGAAGACCATGCCCACCTCCTCCAGCCCCCGTGAACAACTACTGTGTCTACCACCCCTCTTCGCCTGAAACTCAGGGATACACTGTCATGATCCTAGGCGGGCCCAATAACCGAACTGACTACCATATCAACCCAACGCCGGAATTCTTCTACCAATGTAGAGGCTCTATCCTCCTGAAGACTGTTGACACCTCAACCACGCCTCCCACGTTCAGCGATATTCCGATCCACGAGGGATCGCTTTTCCTTCTCCCTGCTAATACCCCACACTGCCCCGTACGGTTTGAAAACACCATTGGAATTGTGATGGAGCAGCCGCGTCTTCCCGGGGCTGAGGATGAAATGCGGTGGTATTGCCGAAAGTGCAGGGAGTTGGTTTGGAGTAAGAGGTTTATTTGTACGGATCTAGGGACCCAGATAAAGGAGGTCATCGAGGAGTTTCAGCAAGACGAGAAGAAAAGGACTTGTGAGAGATGCGGTACGCAGGCTGAGATTACTTATGCTCCAGGGGAAGTCGCTCAGCCACCGTGCTTACCGCAGAAGTCATAGAATTCTCTGATCAAGGACGCAGTTGTTTCAGAATATGGCTGATGAAATACCATTGAATGTATGTACGTAGTATTAGAAACGCTGGGGGTGTTTTGTTACGGGCGCCTGTATAAGGATGAGGGGGAAGGGTCTCGGGGAGTCAAGCCCTTCTCCGAAGTATAAGTTGCGGTGAACGACAACTCTCCTCTTATAGGGAACCTGCTTCTTGAATGTATTCAGCTCGTGTACCATGAGGAGTATGTACCCAGCATGAAGCCCGTATCTGCAAGTAAGACTTAGCAGCGGGACGATTCGATGATCTATTATGTCTCGGTCATGTTTAATAGCTTCGGGGAGTTGTGAATTACAATCCCCAAGAATCTGAATCTGACCCTACTGCTCCTCACTCCTCTGCATCTGCTTCTTCTTACCTAGTTGACTGACGCTTGCCCCTGGTGTACGCCCTTACACATTTGAACATCCTGTCTCAACTATTCATTGAATCGACAATTTGTCTGTAGCGACCGATAAATTTTCATTTAAACCACTTGGTAACATAAAAATATTACCTATAGTCTTCTTAAATATCTTACTTAAAGTATTTCGTGTCCTGTAAGTATGGGAATGATGAACTTGTACAGGCCCCTCACTGCAAAATATATTTTCAAGTTTCTTCTCTACCTGAAGGTAGAGCGGCTATTCACAAATAATTTTTGCAAAGAAACTTTGATATTCGGGGTTGATTAGTCTCCTGATTATCTACATATTTAAGCCTTTGATGGAAGATAAAGACGCCTCTCTACGTCTACGCACAGGAAGCCAGAAAGGAAACAGAAAAGCGATTTCGATCTATATTCGAAGGGAAGAGGGAAAGAGAGGCCCTCCCGGCCTATATAGACCGAAGAAGTAAGGAAAGCAAACAGCAAACGCTGGTCCTAAGAACACCCGCGGGAACAATCCGCCAAATAGGACGGAATCTCCGCCAGAAGATAACCTATTGAGGTGGGGAAGCTCAAGTCTGCCTGGTCGACACAGGCAGCTCGAGCCACGCGAGAGAGAATAAACTCCCAACAGCGAACCTCCCGTAGGAGAGGCAACAAGAGGATGGAATCGCACGGTCAGTAAACGCCTATCAGCAGTAGATCCAGCTGCCTTAATAGCAGAATTGAAGGATCGTCATGATCTATGAGAAAAGG